TTATGATATTGGAGATGACTGGATCTTGCAAAGGCTTTACCACACTGATTACATTCATAAGGTTTCTCTCCAGTATGTGTTCTTTTATGTCTTTGGAGATGACTGGATCTTGCAAAGGCTTTACCACATTGATTACATTCATAATGTTTCTCTCCAGTATGTGTTCTCTTATGACATTGGAGACTACTGTGACATGAAAAGGCTTTACCACATTGATTACATTCATAAGGTTTCTCTCCAGTATGTATCCTTTTATGATACTGGAGACCACTGTGACTTGAAAAGGCTTTACCACATTGATTACACTCATAAGGTTTCTCTCCAGTATGGGTTCTTTTATGATACAGTATGGGTTCTTTTATGATACTGGAGATGGCAGGAGATCAGGGCAGCAGAGACAGACCCAGGAATGGTACATCTTGCTTTAGGAAGTGACTTAACAACATTAGGCCTCAATCTGAACTCACCTGAAAATCTCTACCCCAAATTTTCATCACCCTGGGCTTCTTCACCTTGTCGACCTCAAGACATAGATTTCCATGTTCCATCAGAGTATTTAACAAACATTCACATTAGGGATAAGCTGGCTGCAATCAAGCTTGGCCAATACGGAGAAGACCTCCTCTTCTATCTGTATTACATGAACGGCGGGGATGTATTACAACTCTTAGCTGCAGTAGAGCTTTTTAACAGTGATTGGAGATACCACAAGGAGGAGCAGGTATGGATTACCAGGGCACCAGGCATGGAGCCAACGATGAAAACCAACACGTATGAGCAGGGAACCTACTACTTCTTCGACTGTCTCAACTGGAGGAAAGTAGCTAAGGAGTTCCATCTGGAATATGACAAATTAGAAGAGCTGCCTCACCTGCCATCCACCTTCAACTACAACGCTGCTCAGCAAGCCTTCTAAAAAGACTTCCCTCTTCTCGGGGTATGGCTATCTCAGCACAACACTCGACATAACTGCAGAACTGATGTGGCTCAGGCACCCTGGTTTTAATTCCCTGAGGATCTGGCAGTTGGCTTACATAAAGGGTCACCATTTGAGGTCCTGCCTTACCAATTATGTGCTGCCCAACAACTAAATTTGTAATTTGTTTTCTCTAGTTTGAGCAGGGTCTGAATTTTTTCATTTATTTTCTTTTTGCCAGCAGACAGACTTGGGTCTATAAAGACAAGCAAGTACACTGACAGAAGTTACCATTTAGTTTCTTAAATGTAAAAAAAGAAAACCCACAAAAGACTGAACAAAATTAGACCACAAAATTTGCATTGTTCATTGTAGCACTATTGGTAATAAAAGAACAGATGTTTGTGCATTTTTATGTGAAGATCCTTCTTGTATTTCATTTGGAAAGACGAGCAAGGTCTGCTTCTTTCATTTCACTTCCCCTTCTGTTTCTGAAAGGCAGTTTTGCCAGGCTTACTGCAAGACTATGACTGTAGAGAGGTGGCCACAGTCTCTGGCGGCTCCAGGCTGTGCTCTTACTGAGCTTCATCTTTCCAGAATGAGCAAAACACTGTCCAGTCTTTGTTACGATTTTTGTAATAAATGTGTACATTTAAAAAAAATTTGGACATCACATGAATAAAGGTATGTATGTACAAATGTGTATATATTATATATATGACATCTATTTTGGAAAATGTTTGCCCCGCTGTACCTCATTTTTAGGAGGTGTGCATGGATGCAATATATGAAAATGGGACATTCTGGAACTGCTGGTCAGGGGACTTTGTCGCCCTGTGCACTAAAGGGCCAGATTTTCAGCAGCCAAGGACATCCATACCCAAGTGAATGTGATGGGGCTCCAAGACGTGAACTGAGACAATTCACTCTGGCTGTTTGAACAGCAGCATTTCATAGGAAGAGAAAAAAGATCAATCTTGTATTTTCTGACCACATAAAGGCTTCTTCTCTTTGTAATAAAGTAGAAAAGCTCTCCTCAAAAAAAGGGGGGGGGGGATCGGGGAGAACCAGGAACAGGTGTGGTGAGAGACAAGAGAGGGCCAGAGGAGGAAAATGGATCAAAATCTGCAGCGGGCTGGGAGGAGGGGGTACATTTAGGATGTGCCAGAGAATTGGAGGGCACCAAGGAGTCTATGGGGTTGATCTTAGCTGAGATGTGAAGCAGTTAGGTATGGATGCTGAAGAGGCCACTTCCTGAAGTCAGGCAGGACCCCCAGTGGAGAGTTAAAGACAACAATCATTCCAAAAATCTTTCTACCCAAAATCTGCCCTGTCTACAAGAATACAATCTACAACATAGATTCTGTCCAGCAGCAAAATAACCCTTTGATACCATTTTGTTGTTGTTGTTGTTGTTGTTGTTGTTGTTGTTGTTGTTCTAACTTGCTTCTCTGTTTCTGTGATTCAATCCTCTAAACAAAAGCATTTCAGGTAATAAGTGGTTGATATACATGGTTCTGTCAGATCACAGTCCTTCAGCTTAGATTAGAAACTGAAGGCAAAAAGCATGGACAAACACTGTTTCTTCACTTGCTCTGTTGCTTGGTCACTGTCTCATGCTCACCTAGCTCTCTCATCCAGCACTGGCCTACTTGCTTAGGGATATTGCATCTCTCAGTGGAAGAGTCCTCCCACATCAATCATCAACACTATCTCACAGAGACATAGCAACCAGCCATTCAGATGAGGGCACACCCTTGACTGAGTGGCCTTCAGATGACTGTAGCTCTGAAATGTTGAGAACTTAAGACAACTGTGACACAGACACAATAATAAATGAGAAAGTTGTAACCCCAAACCAATGATCTAACCGAGTTGTGGCTCGGGAGGACAAAATGGGGAGGACTCCTGGCTCAGAGAAGGGAAGGATACAATGGAATAGGGAGTTCAGAGGCTATGCTGACCTGGGGTGAAGAAGTGTCTTTAACCCTGGGTTCCCAAGGGAATGCTACCAAAGATATGGCTAAAACAGCTGGAAGGTGGATAGAGAAGCAGATTGCCCCACAGACCTGGAAATGGCCTCCCCAAAGGATAGGATCTCTGGTCCAAGGAAGATATGCTATCTCTGTTGGAATGGATGTAGAACCTTTAATCTAATGACAACTCCAAAACTACAGAGTCACATAAGGACTGGGCAGAGGGTAGAACGGGAAGAGGGGAAAATGAGGTCTTTATCCTTTCCATCCTGTAAAATGGGGTAGGAAGAACATGATTGTGCCCTGGATGCAATGGGTCTTAGTTTTGTTGGTAAGAAGGATTTAACCCAAGGTGAGGGGTAAGTAACTAAATCAATTGGAATGCAAACAGTCTCAGTTCCTCTCTCAGTCAGAGAATAATAAAGTGCCACACACATAACAGACAGCCACAAGAGGGCGGTAAAGGCTACCCAGCAGATTCCTACACTTGGACAGAGGAGAAAATGAAGAGAGGATGGCAGCTGTGAGCCCTGTAGCAGGTTTCCAAGTCTGCTCTAACCTTCCCAGAAATTAAGACCAGAGGCACGCCGTCCACTATACAAGACTCTGGAACATCTTTGAAGCACTTTGGGGCTACGACTCTCCAGTGTATCTACTGTAGCAGGATTCCACCTTCAATTTAGATATCTCCCTCCACATATACTCAAGAAAAAAATCTGAAAACCAAGGCACAGAGACAAGAATCTGACAGACAAGCCACTGACACAAAAATAACAATGGTACATCTTAAACACTGGACTTTCAATCCTTTAGTTAGGAGTCCTGAGGGTCTTGGGGTTCCAGTCAATGCACTAAGATGTTATGTCCAAGTCATAGAGACCCAAAGACCAACAAGTAGCCTACTGCAATGAAAACACATGGAGGTCTTTATTATGCGCTCTGTAATAAGGATTCTCGCCAGTCAGCCTCACAGGAGATAGAAAATGAGAGACCAAGTCGAGAGGTGCTGGGTACTTATTGTAGTTACAGCAAAATTGGGGCATTAACACACAGGTCAGCAACTTAATATTTTAAAAGCTGCATGACTGGCATAATCTGCAGGAACCAATCAAGGGGGCAAAATCATCTGACAACCATGATGGGTAGACTAACTTCTTTTCTGTAAGGTGTATTAGTTATCTATATGTAGCTTAACCCAGCAGTTGTACATTGACTATCTGTTGACAAGGGGGTTTGTCATAGGATATTTGCTCAAGTGGACTCTGTGTACCCTTAAAAACTGTGCATGCCTCCTAAAGATAGTGCAGACAATTTCCACCTGCCCTTCTTTTCCTGCCTCATCCCTGTGTCTCAGCCCCACTTGGGCAGACACTCTCTGTTCAACCATACGCTTTACCAGCCAGGACACAAGTAAGGTTTCTATAGATCTACCACACTATTTGTTATGCCAGATGCAATAATCACAGTTTCCCCTAGCACTGTAATAAACACCAGAGGCAGCTTAACCTCACTAATGACAAAGTCTCCTTGTAGATTACTAAGATCATCTCTTCCTGCCCACAGCTTCTCCCAGCTTTGAACATTAGCAAGCACTCCCCCTTGAGCATACCCACCAAACAGGTCAGTAAAAGAGGCAACACTCAGTCATCACTCTCTGAAAATCCAGACATCAAACAGCAACCCAGCAACAAAACTCCCACCCAAGCAAGACAAATCTAGAAATCAGTACCTAGATCAATAATCACTTCAAACACAGAGGCCTAGACACCAGCATAGGAATATAATAAATAACAACCAGGAAAATATGTCACCACAAAATCCAAGCTATCCTATCACAGCATGTCCTGAGAAATTAAAACATGAAACAGATATGGTGCAAAACAGGTTGTTTGGGGCAAGGGAGAGGATTTAGAACTTGGGGAAGGGATAGACGCACAGAAGAGGACCTGCAGACAGGCACACAGAGAGGGAGCAGGGAGAAAGAGAGTCATGAAGGTTGAGACAGAGA